TATCCAATGAAACCAGAAATATAACACACGGTGTGGGAATGGAGGCATGACAAAAAATCTAATATTAACATGTGTGAAATCCAAAAGGTGAAAGCCCTAATCTAAAGGTATCTTTTTGGTTCCAATTTTTTCTTTCATCTTTATGAACTTAAGAGACTAATGGGCACCTATGCTGTACTTCTTAAAATTCTCTCTATACCTTGGTTTTCAAGACACCATCCTTTGGTTCAAGCAGTTTAATAAATTCTCCTTTCCTGGTTCTTTTCCTTCTACCACTGCTTAAATGTAGGTATTCATAAAGATATGTCCCTAACTTATACCCTCTTCTCTTTTTTCTCTTCACACTTTAACTGGATCAAAATATTCCTAGTCTTTTAAAAATTCTTTATTTTCATTTAACAAAAAGATAGTATACCATATACTGTTTCATGCTTTTACCACTTATGAAAAATTTCCAAATTACTAGATATTCATTTAAAATATTTTTAGTAAATACAAAGCATTCCATTGTATGGATATATCATAGTACTTTTCCAATTTAAGGGACAATATTGGGTCAACCTACCTAATGCCATAACGATATTATTAAGTAGTAGCAGTGTGATAAATCTAATGAAAATTTTACTTAACTTCCAAATTAAGAGGCAAGTGATACTATTTAATTACTAGGACACTCAAACTTGATGCCACTCCTGAGAAAGATGTCCTAGGCAGGAGGGAACATGCTCCTTTCTCTTTCATTTATTTCCTTAACTTTGTGCCTGAAACCAGCTATACCTTAAATGAAATGTCCAGATAAGGCACCAAAAACAACTTAATGGTTCAAAGTAGGTTCCAGCTACCTTCTATGAGAGGCTTTCTTGATCATCACATTAATTGAAATCTTACAGTTGGTCCCATTTGTGGATACTATCCATGTGGTTTTTGGTTTAGGATGACTGGGAATTCAAGAGCCCAGGAGAGTTAGCATTAGTATACTTAACTTAGCATATTACAGTCATTGCCTGCACATTTCAGGCCTCTTCAAAGAATAAGCTTAACTTCTACTTACAGCAGCATGACAGTTTAGACTTCCACAAAAACAAAATAACTTTAATGCTGGAAATAATAAATGTTAAAACATCGTTTTATGTTTTAAATGCATTGCTAAGGGGCACCTGGCTTGCTTGTCAGTAGGGCATACAACTTGATCTTTGGGTTGTGGGTTTGAGCCCCATGTTGGGCTTTCTTAAGATTACTTAAAGTAGGGGCGCCTGGGTGGCGCAGTCGGTTAAGCGTCCGACTTCAGCCAGGTCACGATCTCGTGGTCCGTGAGTTCGAGCCCCGCGTCAGGCTCTGGGATGATGGCTCAGAGCCTGGAGCCTGTTTCTGATTCTGTGTCTCCCTCTCTCTCTGCCCCTCCCCCATTCATGCTCTGTCTCTCTCTGTCCCAAAAATAAATAAATGTTGAAAAAAAAATTAAAAAAAAAAAAAGATTACTTAAAGTAAAATAAAAAGTAAAGGGTAAAAAGAGTAAAGAGTAAAATAAAATAAAATAAAATAAAAAATAAAATAAAATAGTTAAAGTGACAAAAAAAAATGCACAGCCAAGATCAGAGGGTGAAAAATGAGAAAACTAAACACTAGAATGGTAAGCATTTAGAGACCCTGGAGCAACTCTGAGGGCTTTTGATAATATCGGAAACATAGAAATTTATTTTATTGGCTGTATGAGGGAGAGAGGTCTTAGATTTATACAAGTAAGGTGTTGGAACTGAGATCTTTGCCTAAAGCCAATTCACTTGGACTTGATATACCTTTAATGAAAAGATGAGCCAAAACAAAACAAAACAAAATGCCAAAAAACTAAGCTGCCTTATGGCAGAATGGGGAAATAATACTTTGCCTATTTAAATTTCAGCTCCAGGTAGAGGTAAAGTTTCCTTTCCTTTATAAATTCTATACAAAGAATTTATAATGATGGCCCTGCCCTTGTAAAGGCTGAGGTTTGAATTTACCTATCTGTAAATCTAGGAAACTGTAAGCCAAGAAAAATTCAAAGTAGTCTTGGATTTTTGTGCCCCAGGGCACTTGGCAAAAGCAAATACTATTCTCCTCTTGAGGTGAGCAGGGAAGACTCACAGGAATACAACCCAGGTCTCCCCATATTCTTGGAGATTACTATCAAACAAATATAAGCTCACAATACAAAAATCACAAAACACATAAGGAATTAAGCAACCAGAAATGAGTCAAAACAAGCAACAAATAGCAGTATCTGGTCTTCAAAGACTTCACATATTGGTATCATCAAACATAAAACATAAAATAACTATATTTAAGGTGTTTACAGAAATAAAAGAACTGAAAACATGAGCAAAGAAAGGCCACTGAAAATGACCAGGCTGCTATGAAAAAAAAAGAAATATCAAGTAATATTCAAAACTGAAAGGGTAAGTTAAACAACTGACTAGAATAGAAATAGATGAAAGAATCAGTGAACTGGAATACAGACTTGAAGGATTACCCCAAATGCAACACAACGAGACAAAGATGAATGGAAAGTTTAGAAATCACAAAGGCAAGACCTGCCAACATTTCTAACTGAAGAATTCCTGAAGCTGTGGCATTATTTGAAGAAAAAAATGGCTGAGAATTTTCCAAATGATGAAAAACACAGATCATTGGACTCAGGAAACAAAACAAATACCAAGCAGGATAAACTAAAGAAATAAACACCCATACACATTTGGTGCTAAACACCACAAATAAAGAAAAGCTCTTGTAAAAAGCCACAGAAAAAATTCAGATCATCTACAAAGAATGACAACTAGACTAATAGCAGGGATCAACAGTAATGATGCAGGGTGAAATAACACCTTCAAGTATTCAATCTAGAATTATACGCCCACTTAACCTTTCATTTAAGAATAGGATGAATAAAAAGACATTTCCAGATAATCATTTACAATGGCTATTACAATCAGACCATAAATGTAGAAATATGGAAAATAATCTCAGAAGGAAGGTCTAAGGTACAAGAAATGGTGGGCAAAGAAACTGGTAAATAAACACTCACTATATTTTTTAAAAATTATAAAAAAATTATAATGTCCCACTTGGAAAGTTAAAAAAAAAAAAAAAAGAAAAGAACTAAAATACAGAACACCTAAAGAGATATACTGAATTAAAATGTCCTAAGACCCTTGTTTTCTTCTAGAGAAGGGTAGAAATCAATCTATCTATGTTTATTTTTTCATTTTGAGAGAGAGAGAGAGAGTGCACATTGTGCACATGCACAAGCAAGGGAGGGGCATGGAGAAGGAGAGACAGAATCCCAAGCAGGCTCCTCACCATCAGAGCAGAGCCCAATGTGGGGCTCTTATTCTCAAACTGTGAGATCATGACCTGAGCTGCGACCAAGAGTTGGATGCTTAACTGAATGCACCACCCAGGTGCCCTGAAATATATATATTTTAAGTTTATTCATCTATTTTGAGAGACAGAGACAGTGCGAATGGGAGAGGGCAGAGAGAGAGGGAGAGAGAAATCCCAAGCAGGCTCCGTGCTGCCAGCCACAGAGCCTCATGTGGGGCTCAAACCCACGAACCATGAGATCATGACCTGAGCTGAAATCAAGAGTCAGACGAGCTCAACTAACTAAGCCACCCAGGTGCCCCTGGAAGCAGGTAGAAATATTAATGTTTAAGGTACACATATTAAAATATAAAGCATAACTATTAAAAAGATTGATACAAAATATAAAACTTCTCTAACAGAAGGAAAAAATGAAGGGAATAAACCTCAACCCAAAAGGAGATTAAAAAAGCATAGAAAAATTGGGATGAACAAAAAGTGCAAAATAAGGTATTAGAAATAAGAATATAATAGTATTTACAATAAATTAAATGGAATATAATTTACCTGTTAAAAGATAGTAAGAAAGGGTTTAAAAAAGAAAATAAAGCTATATGCTGTTTTTAAGAGATCTAACTAAAATATAAGGACACAAAATGTTTGAAAAGAAATGAATGCATAAATATAAGCTAAGACAATAGTAACCAGATAAAAAGTGGTTTAGTTATATAAATATCTGATAAAATAGAGAAAGGCAACAATCTTTACTAGGGAAAAAGAAGATCATTACATAATGATAAAAGGTTGCATTCACCAGGAAGATAACATTTCTAAACTCATATTTAGAACCCTCAAAATATAGAACAGAAAAATTAACAAAATTACAGGAGAAATGGAGAAATCCACTATAGTGGGTGAATATAATACAACTTTGTCAGTAAATGATAAATTAACTAGACCAAAAAATTAGTCATAAAAGATACAAAACAACTTTACAAATATTGACAACTTTCAATAAATATTAAAAAACTGGTATCTGATCATAACATTCTTAGACCACAATGCAATTAAGTTAAAAATCCATGACCAAAGGCATTTAAAAGCATACTTCTACTAAACTTATTGGTCACAAGAGAAAACATAATGGAAATTAGAAAGTATTTTTAAAAGCAAGTTGCAGGGGGCACCTGGGTGACTCAGTCAGTTAAGCGTCTGACTTCAGCTCAGGTCATTATCTCATGGCTCATGAGTTTAATTCTGTGTCTCCCTCGCTCTCTGCCCCTCCCCCACTCTCACTGTCTCTCTCTCCCTCAAGAATAAACATTAAAAAAGTATATTAAAAGCAAGTTGCAGGGGCGCCTGGGTGGCTCGGTCGGTTAAGTGGCCGACTTCGGCTCAGGTCATGATCTCGCGGTCCGTGAGTTCGAGCCCCGCGTCGGGCTCTGGGCTGACCGCTCAGAGCCTGGAGCCTGTTTCAGATTCTGTGTCTCCCTCTCTCTGATCCTCCCCCGTTCATGCTCTGTCTCTCTCTGTCTCAAAAATAAATAAACGTTAAAAAAAAAAAAGCAAGTTGCAGAAGAATACATACAGTATACCATTCATGTAGCATTTAGGAACAGGCAAAACAATACTAAATGTTGCTTATATATATGGAATAGGCAAAACAATACTAAATGTTGCTTATATATATGGTAAAGAACTGCATGCTGATCAAACACCATATTCAGGGCTATTGTTTCCTCCTAGGTAGAAGAATGTGAGCCATCACTGGGGAGGAACACATTGGATGCTTCATCTGTACTGACTTCTCAGGGTGCTAGGTAAGTTCATGAATATTTTCATTATTAGTTTTTATATCTTTCTGTACAGCTTAAATATGCATACTAAATTTTAAAACAACACTTATAGCAATATTTGCCAAAATCCTCAAACTCTCAGAAAAAAAAACCAACTGATGGGTGCTTATTAAAGTTTAGAGTTTAGGAAAACGAAAGTACTGTCTTAATTATAGACACCCACTCTACTCATATCCATCTAGTACCACACACACACAGCCAACCATAGTCAGAACCCAGATCCACACCACTAGGACTAAAGGTATTTCCAGAAAGGAAAATACAAGGCTGCCATTTATCATTATTAGTTAACTGCACACTGTCATGAAAAGGCTATTGAAAGTAGTCAATGTAACAAAATAAAAGGTATAAATAGTAGAGGGGAGAATCTAAAATTATCATTACTTGCAGATAAAAGATTAAATCCCTAGAAAAAGCAAGAGAAATCAACTGAACAAGTTTTAAAAAGAAATGAGTAATGACAAATGCAAATACAATTCACAACAGCAACAACAAAAATATCTAAAAAAAGATTTTAAGAAATGTAGGAGTTTATAAAAAGAAAATTATAAATTCTCCAGGACATATAATTTAAATGAGGTACAACAATAATTAAAAGGTACCAGAATGAAATGGAAGAGAAACTGATTTTTGTGTGTATACAGATAAGGAGAAATTTAGTTCATGATGTTCAAATCAGTGGGAAAAGATAAATTATTCAATAATGATATTGGGCCATCTTGCCAGACATTTAAAGAGGAAAAAAAGATAGACTCTTCTGTATTCAAATAAATTTCAGTTGGATACAAGGTTTCAACATTTTTTTTAAAAAGGAGAAAATAAGAAATCCGTTAAGTGCACAAGACAAGAATTTATGAAATTAAAAAATTACCTTGGAATAAGGAAGACATTTCCAACTACATCCCTAACACTAGATTCAGAGTTAATAATACAAAAACACTGATTCAGACTTAACGATAAAAAGAACTGGAGACTGAATGTGCCAGTTTTAAGACCTTTTTCTCTTCTTCTCTTGAAAGCCATCCCAAACAACAATGAAGCAAGAAACAAACTCTACCTTTGATAATACTAGAAGATCTATATAACCCTGAAACTCAGTAAGTGAAGACATATAGCAGATAGAGCGTTAACATGAAATGGTTGTGGGGGCACCTGGGTGGCTCAGTTGGTTGAGTGTCTGACTTCAGCTCAGGTCATGATCTCACAGCTTATGAGTTCAAGCCCCCATTGGGCTCTGTACTGACAGCTCAGAGCCTGGAGCCTGCTTCAGATTCTGTGTCTCCCTTTCTGCCCCTCCCCCACTCGTGCTCTTTCTCAAAAATAAAACATTAAAAAAAAAGAAAAAGAAAATGAGATGGTTGTGGAAGGAGACACCAATGAGAAGCAAGCCAAATTATCTTGCAGAAGCCTGGAAAGATTCATAATGGGAGATAGGAAGGACCCCCAGAAAGTGGGGTGGGGATGAAAACAAGAGAGCTTTAAAATTCTGAATAAACAACACTTTGTCAGGTTTCCTTCCCCTACTGCACAGTCCAGTAACCTGCCATGCCTTCTCCAAGTAGGATATATGATGACTGGTCTTTGGAGAATCACACAGAGAAGGGTATGAGCCTGATGACAAGGGTTAAGTGAAAGTCTACATATCAAAATATTCCCCACCCAGCTCCCAAATGCCTGTATCCAACTATCTGAGAAAATATTTATAGATGCTAACATTGGAGGGGTCCTCAATTAAAAACAAAATGTGTGTTGAGGCACCTGGGTGGCTCAGTCGGTTAAGCACCCGACTCTTGGTTTCGGCTCAGGTCGCGATCTCAGTTTGTGAATTCAAGCCCCACATCGGGCACTGTGCTGATGGTGTGGAGCCTGCTTGGGATTCTGTCTCCCTCTCTATCTGTCCCTCCCCTGCTTGCTATCTCTCTCAAAAATAAAACAAAAAAACGTGTGTTTACACTGATTACCCTACAGTTCAGGCCAAGAACCAAGAGCCCACTCACATATACAGTGCTATTGGCTTTATTAATAACTTAGTCTTATAAATATGACTCACAGATAACACATTAAGAAAAGCTTCCAACAACAAAAACAGAAAAACAAAATTCAAAGGTAATACAGAAAATGCAGACAAGATAAACATGAAAGGCACTATAATGCTACTTCAGAATAAGGTATTATAACCATGAAATAAGGAATTAGAGAATAAGTAAAAGCTCACAGAAATTAAAAATAATAGCTGAAGTAAAAGTGATGATAGAAAAATTAAGGCTGTCTCCTGGAAGACAGATCAGAGAAGCAGAGACAAGAGTTGTATTGAAGAATCACAATACCAGTAACAGAGAAATGAGAAATTTGTGATTGAAAAGACAATGTCCAACATGATTACTAAAAAAAACAAAAGACAAAACACAAAGTTACATTATTGTGAACCTCCAAAACATCAGGGATATTACAAAAAAATTACAAAGAGGAATAAAAAATAAAAGGATCAGACTGGCATCAGATTTCTGAAAAACAACACTGGCAGCTAGTTAATGGAGCAATGCCTTCAAAATTCTAACTTGAATTTTCTAAAATGATTTTCAACATAATTCTATATACCCAGTTTTACTATCCTTCAACACTTTATGGTAAAATAAATACAGGAGATTCATCAAGTCTCCTAATATTTACTGATGACATACTCTTTCTCAGGAACCTGTTATGGGATACATTCCATTCAACAGGGAAAATTAAAAAAGGGGAAGACCTGAGGTCCGGGAAGGCAGTGGATATAACAAAGGAGAGGAGTGAAAGGACATCCCAGGATGGCAGAGAAGGGAAGTTCCAGGACAAGAAGAGTGTCTCAGGGTTAGAGTGCAAATAGTCCACACTGGAATATGTCGAAGGCTCTATGAAGGATGTTTACAAGAAATAAAAGCAACAGATTGTTTAATTGTACAATTTTATTAAGTAGCATTTTACAGAGGGGTTGGGACTTAGCCTGCAAGCCAAGAACAACTAAGTAAATGACAAAATATGGCAGTTGTTGGCTGGTCAAAAAGGAAAAAAAAAAAAGTGATCACAGTATATTATTTGGCTGAGTAAAATAAAAAGGAAACACTAGGCACAAAGTACATGAAAGCTATTATACACAAAAGGAGACAAGGCGTAAGTAATTTTTACCTTCTATCATACACATTCCTATAAAATGAGGGCTGGGGCTAAGTCTCCTCCAGGTAGACAGCTAAGAACCCCAGTGGATTATTAATCTAAAAAAGGTAAGTCTTGGGGCACCTGGGTGGCTAGATCAGTTAAGTGTCTGACTCTTGGTTTCAGCACAGTGTGTGGGTTCGAGCTCCGCATTGGACTCTGTGCTCTCAGCTCAGAGCCTGCTTGGACATTCTCAATCCCTCCCTCTCTCTCTCAATAAACAAACAAACAAACTTAAAAAAAAAAAAAAAAAGAATTAAAGAGCTAAGTCTTGAATGGAGTCTGATCCATTCTAAAGGGTTTTAAGCCCATGAGAAACTGCCTACAGGATCAGGTTATAAATGGGTATTAAGGCAACTTACTTATCACCATCTTAAGGCATTCAGGATTGTCTTGAATAAGTGGTTCAGCTTGTACTGTTTTACTTAAGAAATTCTTTGATATAAGAGGAAACCTGACTTTAGCAAGGATATCGACCATAAATGGCTGGCGATTAGGTTCATCATATTTCAGCCATCTGACAGCAGCATCATAAACCTAAGGGGGGAAAAACAGCACAGTAAAGTTCTTAGAAGGCAGAAACATTTCCAATTACCTATCTTTACTCTCACACTGAAGGTCAGGGGAGGATCTCATAAAGACGCAACCACTTATTCCCAATATTTTATCAGACATTTTCTTTCATTCCCCAACACTTGCCTGTGCTTCAGAACAGCTTACACACTGCTCTAATGATTCTTGTCAGTAATATATTTTTTAGAATTACTACTATATGATGTAATGACAGGGAGGATATTGAACTTATTTTTTGAAACAAAATATAACCTTTTTTCAGAAGGAGCTGTGATGTACATTTCTACTGAAATAAATCTACTGGTCAATGATAGTGCCAATATATGTTTACTTGGTATCACGGGAATACTTTAATTTCCTAAGAGGATGTCCATCCCGAGAGAAATGAAGTTCATCTATGATTTTATTTCAATATGATATTCCTGAATTGTGAACTGATAGACTTATCTACATTCCAGAAACTTTATAAGAATTCTATGTTTAAAAAATACATTACAGATTATATAAGAATTTTTTTCAAAATAATACTGTAGTATTTACCTGTCCAAGTTCATCAACACAACCCGATTTATGAATCACTAGTTTTTTATTGTTATTGTTAGTTTTATACTGGTTCCATGCCCACCATGCAGCTTGAGCTCATAGCCATGAGATCAAGAGTCACATGTTCTAATGACTGAGCCAGTCAGGTGTCCCCACAAATCACTAGTTCAGACACACTGAAAACACACCTGCCACATTTGAGTTACTTAAATTAGTTAATTTGGGATTGGTGTTAATATGGCCTAAGTTCTGACCTCCATATGAATTAATTTTTAATGGGAATTGGTCTATTTTTTTTTTTAGAAAAAAACCTCTTAATTTTGGCGAAGTTTTAGATTTACAGAAAAACTACAAAGATAGCACACAAAGTTCCGATATACCCTGTACCCAGCTGTTAAAATGTTACATTAGTATGATACTTTTATCACAGCTAACGATCCATTATTAACTAAAGTCCGTATTTCCAAAAAAACTTCTTTAGTTTTTGATCTAATTTTTTTCTCTGTCCCATAATCCCATAAAGGAGAGCACATCACATTTACTCATTATGTCACCTAGGGTCTTAAGGACTAACAGTTTTGCTGACTTTCCTTGTTTCTGATGGACTTTGACAGTTGTGAGTTCTGGTAAGGTATTTTGTAAAATGTCTCTCAATTTGGGTTTGTCTGAGGTTTTTCTCGTGATTAGACTAGGAGCACTGTGTTTTGGGAGGAAGACTACGGAGGTGCCATGCATATCAACGTGACTTATCACTGACGGTATTATCCTATAAATAGTGCTCATCAAGCTTGATATAATAATAATCTGTAGATAACGTTTGCCAGGTTTCTTCAGACTAGTTACGTTTTTAATTCCCTTTCCATAATGCATATAAGTCAGTTAATTTTAGTCATGGGTCACAGAACTAAGATTTTTGTTTGTTTTTCCCTAGTCAGGTCTTCCAGGTCCAACCTGTCAACTTGTAGACTAATATAATACGCTGGGCCATGAAGAAGACTGGACAAAAATGGCCCAGTGCTAATCTTTTATCTGGAGAACAAAAGTAACTCAAAGCATATGATCCTACAGTACCTCTATTAGTTTGCTACTGCTGATTTAACAAATTAAATAAAATACAGAGAAGGATGTGGGACTGAAAACAGGGAATAATTGAATGACTGCATTTCTAAGTGTTAGTCTACCCAGCTCCCAAATGCCTGCACCCAGCTTACACCTCCGGCAGTTTAATCTGACAGTTATGGAGGTTGAATCCAAAATAGGTCACAATGGGTCAAAATCCATGTGTCAGCGGGGATGCCTGAAGGTTCTAGAGGAGAAAGCATCTCCTTGCCTTTTTCAGAATCCAGCAGCCTCCTCCTGCATTCGTTGGCTTGCGGCCTCTTCTTCCATCTTCAAAGCCAGCAATATCCAGCCAAGTCTTTCTCACACTGCATCACACTGACACTGACTCTTCTGCCTCCCTCTTCTACATTTAAGGACGCTTGAGATTACACTCGGCCCACCTGGATAATCTCTCCATCTCAAAGATCTTTTTTTTTTTTATTTAAAAAAAATTTTTTTTTTCAACGTTTATTTATTTTTGGGACAGAGAGAGACAGAGCATGAACGGGGGAGGGGCAGAGAGAGAGGGAGACACAGAATCGGAAACAGGCTCCGGGCTCTGAGCCATCAGCCCAGAGCCTGATGCGGGGCTCGAACTCACAGACCGCGAGATCGTGACCTGGCTGAAGTCGGACGCTTAACCGACTGCGCCACCCAGGCGCCCCTCAAAGATCTTTAACCACATCTGCAAAGTCCTACCGCCATGTAAGGTAACATATTCACAACAGGTTCTGACAATTAGGATGTGGATATCCTTGGGGGGAAGCACTGTTCTTCCTACCATGGTACCCAATAGCTTTATTTCTACCAAATGGTCTCTCTCTCAAAGAGCAAGCTTTACAAGCACGCAAGACTTACTTTTCCTATGAAAAAGACGTTGGAATACTCCGTTTAATGTAAAGAACACATTCTCTCCTACTACGATTCTTTTCCTTGTCATGTATCCAAACATGAAACATAAGAAATCAGAAAAGATATTTTACTAAGAAAAAACTGAGAAGACAATTTAGTCACCTGGTCCTCTGCTCTCACAGTCAGAGTGTCCTGGTTGAGGAGGTGTGTAACTCGCTTAACATCAAGTTGCAGAAATTCATCAGTTTTATAAACTTCAGTAAAATGCTGATGAATAAAGTCATCTGCAGTTGCTTTCAATTCAGGACAGTCCAGACACTCTGCTAGCACACTTATACCTAAACATAGAAGAAAATAAATGAATAGAAAATCACTTAAAAAATCCCCAAACATACATTGAAAACAAAAAAATGAGGCTGAGTGAATTTAACAAATCTGGATCCTTCTCTGTTCTACTGGTTTATTCCTATGCCTATGCTATGCTGAATTAAGTATGGCCAATATTGATACTTTGCAGGAGAAGCCCCTTCAATGTTTTCTCAAATTTTTGTTGGCTACTGTTAAACATTTTTCTCTTGCAAATAAATTTAAAAATAAGCTTATAACATTCTACTGTAAAAAATCCTGGTATAATTTTACTTAGGACTGCAGTGCATTTCTGGATTACTGTGGGGACTGTTCCGCAACACAAGAGGATCTCCTCTTAGGAACATGACATGTATCTCCATTTACTCAGATTTCTTATGATTTTCAATATAATTAACACAGATTTGTTTATATAAACCCTCATACATTTCCCATTCAGCCTTTTCCTAGCTATTCTATATTTTTGTTTGAGAGGGAGTGTCTCCCCAATTGGCTATTAATGTTCTGTTTCAGGAATCTGTAAAGTACTGTCCATGAGCTAAATCCAGCCCACAACCAGCTGGTCAGCAGCTAAAAACATTTTTCATGGTTTTAAAGGGTCATAAAAAAAAAAAAAAAGTGGGGCAGAGGGAGAGGGAAAAGAAGTGTCAAGGACCATGTGTGACATGTGCACGGCATACAAAGTCTAAAATATTTAACTATCTGGCCCTTTACAGAAAAAGTTGGCCAATCCCCCTTCTAAATAAATCCACTGATTATTGTGTGTGATTTTGTTGCAGGCCCCCCTTCAAAGTCAGAGGTTGAATATTTTTCAGTTCATTATTTTTGATTTTCTGTTTCAACTCATGTTGCCTTAAGATAATGAGTTTTGATACTTTCACATTTATATCACAGAGGTTCTCATAACTGATGCCTGGTAATGAACTTGTCAGATTAACTGCTATTATCTAATACCAACCAATGCCATGGCATGCTAGATGCTCATGGTGAGCAGTCTGCTATAGCTTGTATCTATGCTCCCAACAGAGAGAGGGTATCTTCACCAAGAACCAATATTTGTTTATTAACTAATTTCTGGCAGTTGAATTTTCTGTATTTATGCAACCCAATTAAATATCATGCTTTTCAATAAAATATGAATGTGAAAAGAAAGTTGTTTCTATGAAAACTAATCTTCAGATTTCAGACAAACTTGAGAAAAGCTCAGATTAGGCATATGACCAAGACAACTGGTGAGATATGAAAAAACACTGCAAAATTCTAAGGGGATTCTATACTCAGACTAAGTTCTCAATTCATTTCAAGGAAACTAAAAAAATATATATATATATATATTTATATATATATATAAATATATATATATATTATTGGTGTGATTTATTTAAGACATGACATGGATCAATACTGAGAGACTAGGTTTGGGCCTCACAAAGACTGGAAGATTGGTATACTTACATACTACATTAAACACCTTTACAGCAGAGCCTCTCTTATTTAACCACTGTTTTAATGACATTTTAAATTAGACAACCAATTAATATTCTGATTATGCCTGATAAGGAAGCTTTTACTGTTACCTTATTTTGTCTTCACTGATTGCATTAATGGACATCTCCAGCAAAAGTTGAATAGTAGCATCTTTCCATGTAAAGAATATTTGCTATTGGTTTCAGACACAGGTTAATTAGATATTCTATTTCTAGTGCAAGAGTTTTTTTGTTTTTTAATCAGGAATGGATAATGGAAATATAAAAGTGCCTTCAGTATCTGTTGCTATGATTATAAAATTTATTTTTTTCCTATAGCTTGGTAGTATATTAAATTATGTTAGATTCTTTTTTTTAATTTTTTTTTCAACGTTTATTTTTGGGACAGAGAGAGACAGAGCATGAACAGGGGAGGGGCAGAGAGAGAGGGAGACACAGAATCGGAAACAGGCTCCAGGCTCTGAGCCATCAGCCCAGAGCCTGACGCCGGGCTCGAACTCACGGACCGCGAGATCGTGACCTGGCTGAAGTCGGACGCTTAACCGACTGCGCCACCCAGGCGCCCCAAATTATGTTAGATTCTTAAGCATTCAATCATTCTGACATTTCTGAAGTCAACCCTACTGGGTCACAAAGTATTATTGTTTTAATTAACAAACTTTAATTTCCACAGCAGTTGTAGGTTCACAACAAAATTTAGTAGAAACCACAAGGTTCCCATATACTTGTTTTATACATAAATAATCTCTTCCATTGTCAACATCTCACACCAGGGTGGTAAAGTATTACAATATTATTTTTTTTGGTAAAGTATTATTTTTAAAAATATATTCATTGATGGATTCAATTTGCTATTTTTTTTTTAATTTTTTTTCAACGTTTTTTATTTATTTTTGGGACAGAGAGAGACAGAGCATGAACGGGGGAGGGGCAGAGAGAGAGGGAGACACAGAATCGGAAACAGGCTCCAGGCTCTGAGCCATCAGCCCAGAGCCCGACGCGAGGCTCGAACTCACGGACCGCGAGATCGTGACCTGGCTGAAGTCGGACGCTTAACCGACTGCGCCACCCAGGCGCCCCTCAATTTGCTATTTTTAAGGAATTTAAAATAAATCATTATTGTTAAAAAAATTTTTTTTAAACGTTTATTTTGGAGAGAGAGAGAGAGAGAGAGAGAGACCGACAGACAGACAGACAGAGTGCGAGTGGGGGAAGGGCAAAGAGAAAGGGAGACAGAATCCGAAGCAGACTCCGTCCGCGAGCTGTCAGCACAGAGCCCGATGCAGGGCTTGAACTCATGAATCGTGAGATCATTACCTGGGCCTAAATCAGATGCTTACCCGACTGAGCCACCCACAGGCCCCATAAATCATTGTTCCTAAGTGAAACTAAAATCACATGTGCGTGTGTGTGTTATCTGTCCAATCCTGGCACCTCAATAATCCTACCCTTGTAGAATGAGCTGTAAAGTTTTCTATCCATGTCCACTGGATTTAAGTAATACAGAATTAATCTATTGCTTGAAAGCTTGGTAGAATTAACACATAAAACCATCAAATCTGGAGCATTCGTTGGCAACAAATCTTTACCTTTTCAACATTTCTTATTTCTGGGTTTTCAACTTTTAAAGACAATTTTGACTATTTCTCTTTTGTGTTCATATCTTGATGTTGTTTCTTTGACCTTTTCTAATTCTTGTTGTTTGTTCTATGATCTTTCCTTCTTGATTAGACTTGTTTACTATTTTATACCATTTTTTGAAATAATTAGCTTTTGTTTCCCTGGCCAAGTCTACAGTCTATTAGTGTTCTTTTTTCCATTTTATTAATTTTGCTTTGAAAGAGATTTTCTTCTACTTTCATTAGGTGTTTAAAGTTTTTTCCTATCTCTTTGAGTAGAATACTCAAGTCAAGGAAAGATAAAAATAAATGCATTTATTTGGAAAATATTTTAAGACTACAAATTCTCTTCTAAGAAATACTTTGGTCACTGGGGTGTCTGGGTGGCTCAGTCGGTTAAGCATCTGACTTCACCCCAGATCACGATCTCATGGTTTGTGGGTTTGAGCCCCTCATCGGGCTCTCTGCTGTCAGTGCAGAGCCTCCTTTGGATCCTCAGTATCCCTCTCCCTTTCTGCCCCTCCTGCATATGCACTCTCTCTCAAAACTAAACATTAAAAAAAAAAAATTTTTTTTTTTTTTTTAAGGAACACTTTGGTCACATTCTAAAGGTTTGGGTTGTTTTT